CTGGCTGGCTGGCTGGCTGGCTGCTCTTGTCTCTTGACGTCCTCACAAACAAAACCATCAGATAAACGTGAACCCAGCATTAATTAACTTTGTTCATGCAACAACCTACACAACCATTATATTGTCCCTTGTTTTTATTACCAGTATCTTTGTTTCCCCTCGTCTCACAATGTCTGATAGCGTTAAAAGAGAAGCAATCTCCCTCATTTTCCTTTTCCTCAATTTTCTAATTAATGTTCTAATCAGTAGACCCCGTTCCCAGTAATCCCAAGTTACAGCTTCAAATAACTTTATCGTAGAAAACAACAAAAGACTGCTGATTTTAAAAAGCAGCCTAAAACTAATTAACCTTTCTACATCTTCTTCCTTCTTACATACGACGTTTATAACATGAATCTGTAAGGTATTAAAATCCTTGTGTAACGCCCACCCCCTTCCTCCGCCCTCCCGTTCGTGTGTCCAGTGAATTGATGTTGCAGCTCATTACGTTCCTTTTCCATCATTATCTCTACCCTCATCATATTCCCAACGTCGCTCTTGCTCTCAGAGAAATATAACTATGTAAACTCCCGTTATTATACTGGTAATTATCAACCTCATTATTTCCCCTCCCTCCACTCTTTCTTCTCCATTGTGACGGAAACATATTGTCTCTAAATCCCCTACGTGCACTAGTCTGTCCCTTTGTTGTAGACTCTGTTATATAAGGATAACAGACTATAATACCTGACTGTGTCTACAATGATGCTACTACTTTTTTTCTCTCTATTCAGCCACGGTTCTCTTTTCTAATGAACATGCGGCCTTTCTTTTCAATCGCTGCTGTGCTGTCTACATCTATTTATTAGTCTCATCGCCGGGACAGTGTTCGTTAGAGACATGTTTTTTTAAAAGTTTTAGTAAGAGTGTTACGGCACTAGCAATACTATAAGTTCATATAAGTGAGGAAGATTAGAGGTTGTCTCGTACAAGAGAGTAACAAACACAAACGAGAAGTAGGGGAGATAAAGACGATAGATGTTTGATAGGAAAGAAGAAGCAAATCACACCAGAGCACCCACCAAAGAACCACCCACAGAGACAGATTTGTGCGGAGCTCATTGACTTTCTATAACACGATATTTGCCGACGAGCTCAGCAGGTGGTTTCCCGTGGTAGGCACAAACATGGCGTCTCCGGGGTTTCCGGGACTCAAACAGTGACGTGGGTGTTCACAATACAGACACGTCCTATGGGGAAAAGGGATGTTTAGTGGGCGATTAGTCTCGTCCATTATACTTTGTATTGTTCATGTCTCCTCCTCTCAGTATGAGTCGCCGTGACTAACGAATAAATGAGGTCACGCAGATAGATCGATAGCAGCTCCATTTCTCTGCGCGCTTTGTTCCTGATTTGTAAGTCAGTAGATTTACGTGTGCAAGTAATTGTAGGTCCTGGTTCGTTAGAGACCAGCATGGCCGCATGCATAATTTACGGTAAGATACTTTTCCGCTCACAGCGACATGACCTTTTGTGTCATGGCGTATGTCGAGGTCACGGAAGCCTTGTGTGTGTGTGTGTGAGTGAGCAGCTTACTGTCGGATTGGCTCCTCACTCTAGCTCTGACGTGCAGATGTCAATAACTTGGCCTGGTTTGTGGATAACAACTTTCTCTGTCTGTTCACTTTATTAGTGAACCGCTACAAGTATGGTAAAATTGACTTCTATAAATGAGTTTTAGTTTTAGTAATAACAGTTTTACGGCACTTGCAACACAATAAGGTCATATAAGTGCCGAAGATTAGAGGTGTTACAAGAGAGTAATAAACACAAAAAGAAGGAGGGGAAATAAAGACGATGAAGAAGCAAACCGCATCAGAGCACCCGCCAACCACCCACTCTATAAATGACTGTTAATAATAGTTTTCAAATTTTGACCTTTCTGTGATGCAACTAATGTGGAATAATGAGATATCCCTTACACCTTAAACTCTTTCATTGCTAAAACGTCTCAACCTTCGTTTGTACAGGCTAATGATCAGCTCACACCGGGACTATAATTATTTTATTCTTAATTTATCACTTTATTTCTCTTCCAGTTTGTATATATTTGTGCATCATCTCACTCCACAGCCAGTGACGTCACCATACACGGTTGATGACCCCAACCAGTGAGGTCACCATAGCAGTCCGCCAACCACAGCATTGTTCTTGTGATGTGGTGAGTAGAATACTATGTGATGCAGCGTGGTGAAATCAAACGCACGTCAAAATAATCAAAGTGAAGAAACTGGCGTTTTCCCGCAAGTTTGTAAATTTTTATCGAATTTTCACTTTTTGGCTAAACAGCTTTCATGCCCATTAAAGAACACATTCTGGTGTGACTTTTACTGAAAAACTTTGATTAAAGGCAAAAAAGAGTAAATTTTCAGTTTCCACGAACTCTCAAGCTTAGGAAATAATTAAACTTTGTTGGCCATTTTCAAGCTAATTTTACATCTGAAACCAGTTAGCCTAACCCCACCTCCTTCAAATGCCAATATCTCGACTTTTATCCAAGATCAATGGATAAGTTTTTCATCGAAAGCAAGACATATGAACAGGCTTTAAGCAGATATCAATAACTCCACTTGCCCAAAAAATTGACGAGCGCCTTATTCAACCATGTCGTGACACATATCCCCAAACTCCCCACCCCGCCCTCCCTCCTCTCTACCCATTCATCAAAACAGGCGCACATGCACAGAAGCCATACATCCATCATTCATGTCTAACTGGGAAAATGTTTTTGAGATGGATGAGTTAAAATATTTAATAAATTTTCAATACATCATCTTGGTTCCTCTTTCAGTCCTTCAGCGAGCCTTTTGTCACGATGGTCTTGTTATTCTTTCAAGAAAACAAACTCTTACATCCATCCTCGCTAAAAGTACCAAACAAAAATCAGCAGAATTCTACAAATGACTGTTAAATAATCATCCCGAGCTACAGACTTCATTCCGGACGTAGTTACTGTAAGCATAATTTCTCTCGGGTATGACAACCTGGAAAGTTAAGGTAGAGGGAGAGAAAGAGAGAGAGAGAGAGAGAGAGAGAGAGAGAGAGAGAGAGAGAGAAAGAG